CATTAGGGGAACCGACCCCCTCTCCCCCTCATCCTGCGATCTGATCCGGCGGATCTACCGTGCACATCATCGCTTGGTATCTTGTGCGCTGCGATGCAGATGCGCCGTGGCTTGTTGCCCGTCTGATGGGTCGGGGTAATCTGTAGACTGTTGGGTATTTATTACTCGTCATACACTCCACCTGGACCAGCCTCCATGTGCATCCCACCAGCGCCGCCCCTGCGCTCCCGCGGCGCCCATCATGCTGTCGTACCGGGTGTTGACGGTGCCTCCCGGGTGACAGCGATCCCAAATTATGGGCTCACAGACCCGTCGCTATCATACAGATGCGGATATCAAAACAACCGCTGAACCACACTGTGGAGTGACCTGGGTACCCAACACCACCACACCGTTGGCGAGGCAAGGCGGCCTGCAGCTCCCACCTCCCCTCAGTCAACACTCAGATCTAATGTCTTAGAGAGACGACGGAAGAACGCATGACAAAGTTCCTTGTTCAACTCCCTCCCTAGACGGTACATCCGTCCCACGGTCCTCGGCAGCTCGCCGACGGCCCTACCGCGTCGACCCGGGGAAGCTCCGCGTCGTCAACATCACGCCCTTGATCCGCCTGACGTTCTCCTTGGCCTTCTTGATCTCATCATCCGGCTCGCGGCTGCCCCCAAACATGGCGCCCCCCAGGCTGAGATTCGGGTAGGTCAGCTCCTGGATATACTGCGTAAACTTCTCCATGTCCTTCTTGACCTCCTCAAACGACTCCGTCTCCCCCGCCATCCCGTCATTCACCTCCTTGGCCGACGCCACCAGCTTCTCCAGCTGCCGCGCCTGCTTTTCCCCGGCCGTCTCCGCCGCCGGCGCCGCGGGCTCGGCCGGCGTCGACGGCAGCGACGTCTGCACGCCCACGTCGCGGTGGAAGAGCTCCGTGGGGTCGTCGTAGCTGCTCTTGTCGTCGTCGTCGTCGCGCTCCACCTCCTTCTTGGGCGCGGCCGGGATCTCGGACACGACGGCCTCCAGTTTCTCAATCAGCTTGCTCAGGTCCGTCTTGGCCGCGTCGTGGAGCTCGACGCGCGCGTCCGTCAGCGACTGCACCATGGGCTCGAGCACGAACTTGCTCGTGCCGTAGACCAACGTCGAAAGACCCGCGAAGCCGTAGAGCGTGTTGAGGAAGCCATTGACTGTCATGAGCGGCGGCGGCCGCACGGGTTTGGTGAGGAACTCGGGGTAGGTGACGATGGGCGGTCGGTCTTCTTTTGGTTCGGCCGCCGCCGGTAGGGGCTTTGCGGGTTCCGATCGGGGCTCGATGGGGACCGGGTTGGAGGCGCTGGCTTGGGTCTGCTGCTGGGGAGGGAGGTCAGTGGGGAGCTCGGGATCCGTTATCCGTGGGGGGCGGGAGCGTACGGTAGGTGGTTGTGGTGGCTCTGGTTGCGCCTCCTGGGCGGCTTCTCGGAGGATGATCTCGATGTCGGCGTCGGAGACGCCCTTGGTCTTGAGGAACTCGGTCTTTTGCTCTGCAGAGTGTTCTTGCACCGCGGGGTCCCGGAGGAACTTGCGCGCCTGTTCTAGTGTTGATGTGGGTGCTGTCTTGGACTGCTCAGTCTCGTCGGTCGCGGTCGGGGGAGCTGTCGTTTGCCAGGCGGGCGCGGCGGCCTTGGGTTCGTCGTTTTGGTCGCCCATGGTTGTAATCGGTATCTGCAGTGTAAATATCCAAAGGACGCGCGTATCAGGTCGTTGGTGATGTTTTGCGAAAGTTGGAGAGAGAGTGACGAAAGAGACGAGATGGACGAGGCGCCAGCTTGTGATGGGCCGAGGCTGGCCACTGCGCCGCACCGCTGTGGCTGGCCTACAGGACGGGACCCCTGCCCGCAGCAACGGGACCCACTTCCCCAGTGGTCATGTCAGGAGAACTGCGGGAGAGTCGGGGATGCTGTTTTGGCCATGTTGAAACTCAACAGCCCTATTGATGGAGCTGAGGTTGACATTTTCTGCTGACATCTGAACTCTCCTCCGACTATCGAATATATTGCCCAGTGACGGATCTATCACGACAATTGGATATTCCTCACGATTTCTGAGTCTTGTATACCAAGGAGAGAACCCTGTTCAGTCAACAGCCTTTCAACGACATCACCACTTCGCGTCCAATCCTCACCGACCCTGCATCCGTCCCATCAACCTGCCATCTGGCATCACCATTTACCGCGCAGCGCGCCCATCCAAAGAACCACCGAGTACTGCCAAGATCCTGTAGTTGAACTACCGGGTAGGCTTGAAACCGTTGAACGGCACCAGAAACCCGGGCGTGTCACGACAGGAGACGGTGGTGAGAGAGGACCTAGGGTTTGGTCGTGCAGCCGGACCACGTGCTGCCTCGCCTCGAGATTGAGAACAAACACCTGTAAGTGGACTCGCCATTCATACCGTCAGCAGTGTCTCTCTTTTCTGCCGAGTCGGGGGGTTGTGTGCAGGGCGGGCGGCGGGGAGATGGATCATGGATGCAGCCAGACCAGCAGCAGCTTCGCGGCACCGATGCAACGAAGAGAGAGAAAAACAATCGAGGCCACTCAGAGCTTCGCTTCGGCCCAGCCAGCCCAGCCCAGCCTCCAGGCGAGGGCAAGCCCGGATCCTTTGTGACACCTCGGTCGCCAGCAGCAGCGAGTGGTCGGTCGACAAAAAAAAAGAGGGCCAAGCGGCTCCTGGTTGGAGGCTACGGTGATTGAGAGTGTTTGTCCTCACAACACTGGTCTATCTGTAGAGACGGACGGATCAGACAGATCAGCCTCAAGCCGATGCTCGTTGGGTGGATGGTGGCGGCGCCTGCTTGGATCTAGCATCGGGCAAGCACATCATCTCACCCACAGCAAGCACGCACGCAGCCCTCCATTCCTCGGGGTTGAGAGGCCATGACCACGCGGGCCACTACTGCCTCTGCATCCTTAAGTCCCAACGACACGTCGTCTACCCACCCGCGCACTTTCCCCCCAATTATTTCAAACAAACCTCCTCCTTCCCCCGCGCCACGCCTCCTCCAATACCCCATTCATTGCACCACCACCACCACCACCCCAACCCCAAGACACCAACCTACCATCCCGCCATGTCGTCACGCCCCCGCCGCTCCGCGGCCCAGCGCGCCACGGCAGCAATCACTGACATGGCCGACAGAGACAACGAGCGCACCATGTCATCCCGCTCGCGCCGCTCCGGCGGTGCCACCGCCACCCGCGGCCCGCCCTCGTCCCCCGGCGGCAGCAGCCAGGCCGAGCAGCACATGCAGGTGACGGTCAAGGTGCCGTCCAACAAGCTGCGCCAGGCTACGAGCGGGCAGACCAACGGCGGCTCCTCCTCACGTCGGAGGGGGAACGTCAAGAGCTACGTCGTCGAGAGCGATAGCGACGAAGACGACGACGACGACGAGGAAGAGGACGAGATCGAGGTGGGCGCGAGAGCGGGGATGCTAGGGGACGATGATGACGACGACGAGATGGAGGAGGATGATGACGAGGAGGACGCCGAGGGGGAGGCGGATGAGATGGATATCGACGCTGAAGGGGAGGAGGAGGACGCCGAGGGGGATATCGAGATGGATATCCCGCCGCCTGCGCCGCCGGCGATTACCGTTTCCAAGCCGTCCAAGGGCGTGGCGGCGCCGGCCAAGGCCAAGACGTCGCCGCCGAGGGCGAGCGGGAGGGGGGTGGCGGTTCCGGTCAAGCACACGGCGGCGCCGAGGCTTCTGGATGATGACGACGACGATGACGAGCTCAGTGAGCTGGAGAGCGAGCCGGAGGAGGTGGATATGGGGTTGGGCGACGAGGACGCCGAGGGGGAGGACGAGGAGATTGAGGATGTGGATGCCGAAGGGGAGGACGAGATTGAGGTGGCGGATGAGGACGCCGAGGGCGAGGAGGAGGAGCTCGACAGCGAGGATGGAAGCCGTGCGGGGACGCCGGACCTCTCCAAGCTCACGGCGCGGCAGAGGGCGAGGCTCGGCGATGCGTCTCACGAGTATCTCAAGTTGTCGGATGGTACGTATTCTCCCTTGTTGGCTTGTCGAGGGATGCTAACCAGATTACAGAGGTCCAAGCCAAAAAGGTCTTTACCGCCGAGGAACTCTCCATGAGACGCCTCGAGATGGCCCGTCGCCGTCGCAACCTCAGCGAGAAGCGCAACGAGGAAGTCAAGGTATGTCCCATCCCCAGGCAACGAACGCGCTCACGGATGCTGACTCTGTCGTCCAGATGGAAACCATCAACAAGCTCCTCAAGAAGCAGGCGCCCAAGACGAACCGCCGCCACGCCCTCGCGGGCTACGAGACGCCCGACGGGGAGTCGAACCGCGCCGACCCCCTGTTTGTTCGCTGGGTCAGCAGCAAGGACGGCAACCGCATCGGCGTGCCGGACGACATGGTCATTGGCCCGGTTGGGCGGGTTTTCTTGGGAGGCGCCGGACTGGCGAGGGGCAAGATGGTGGAGGAGGTTTCTTAGGAGGAATCAGAGGGGTGTAATGACGGTGCTTGAGCGTGTACTAGTATGGATTTTCTTGGGTTTCGAGAGGTACAGAAAATGAGAGCGTATTGTGTTTTCTAGTCAACAGCGGCTGTCTTGCGTCGAGTAATTCAGGGTCGTTTCCCGAAGGGCTCTCGTCGGAGACCTCGAGGTCAAATATGAACAGCGCGATATATCAGTCTCTCTATGAGGCATCTCTAAAATAATCACGATGACTATTTCATGCCAACCACTTTGGAACTTGTGACGTTCATTTTGGCTTCCCTAGATCCCAAGCTGGCCTGCTCGGAGCTTCTCACCCTTCCCTTCTCCTGCATCAACAGACTCGATCCCAAGTTCGCCTTCGCATTTGGCTGAAGAGTTCTCCATCTGCCCTGATATCCTCCCTCCTCTTCTCACCAGCCCTTCCAAAAAAAACACCACCACCACAGAAACACAACAAAACTTGCAAAAAGAATGTCACAATATGGGTATGTGTCTGCCCAGAGACAAAAAGATTGCGGTTTATGTGGATCGAACACATGACCTTCAGATTGCAAGCCAAGGCAGAACCTCGGATGCGGAATTGAAGTGTTACTTCAGTCTGACGCTCTCCCAACTGAGCTAAACCCGCTGGATGATTTGATGAACTCCATTCCCGGAATTCGTTCTCATGATCGATTGACTGCACAATTTTGAGTTGAAGATGGGAATCAACTCCCTTGGGGTTTGGATCTGTCTTGCTGTTAGGCTAGGTGGGGGTTATGTTTTGTGTTCGGTTGCGCTCTCCGGCCGAGGGATGGGGGTGTGGTGAGAATGGCCTTGCAGGGTGGTCGGACAGAAATGAGGCGATTCGCAACGTCGTCGGCGCCGGGATCGCGTGCAGTATTTACTTTGATTGCACAATAGCAGATACTTGATCAGACAACAGCAGATGGATAAAAGCAAGGCATCTTGTATTGTTTCTTATACCCATCTACTGCAAGTATACCGCTTCAATACCACTACTCTTTGCAAAACCACCACCAGCTGACCACCACATCCAACGCACTCCCCCAATCTTCAACTCAACCCACCTACGCCCCCCCAACCATCCCCACGGACCCCGACACCGCCTCCCCACCCCCCTGCCCCTTCTTCTCCAGCGCCCTAAACTTCCTTACGACCCTCTCGATCCCATCGCACCCCATCTTGAGCGTCTCCATCTTGGGCCCGTACGAGAACCGCACAAAGTGGTGGCACGGGCTGTCAAACAGGTCCCTGCGGCGCGCGGGGTTGAGGTCAAAGAAGATGCCGGGCACGACAATCACCTTTTCCTCGAGGCAGGCCTGGAAGAAGTTGAGGCCGTCCGAGATGGGGCCGGGCAGGCCCTCGAGGTCGAGCCACAGGTAGAACGTCGAGTCGGGCACGAGCTTGATCGAGAAGCCCGTCTGCCGCAGGCGCTGGACGACGTAGTCGCGCTTGTCGCGGAAGTGGCGCTGCAGGGCGATCATTTCCTTTTGGACGAGCGTGGGATCGAGCATGGGGATGGCGGCCTCTTGGAAGGGGACGTTGGTGCCGCCGTCGAGGTAGGAGCCGCAGGAGCCGATGCTGGGAGGTGTTAGTGTATATTTGGAGGGGTGGAGGGGGGACGGACGCCTTGATGAATTCCTTGGGGCCAATGATCCAAGCGACGCGCCAGCCGGGGAGGCGGAAGCGCTTGGTCAGGCCGTCGATGATGAGGACGTCGTCCTCGTCGACGTCCATGACGTTTTCGGCGGCGCTGATGGTGGTGCCATCGCAGTTGCTGGTGTAGTTGTAGCCCGAGTAGAACTCGTCGCAGACGAGGGTGGCGCGCTCCCGGCAGATGTCCTGGATCTCGGCCAGCTCGGGGTTGGCGACGACGCGGCCAGTTGGGTTCCGGGGGTTGGAAGTCAGGATGACGCTGGTGCCGCGGGCGATTTCCTCGGCAATCTTTTCGGGGTTGATGTGGTAGCCATCCTTTTCAGAGAGGGGGACAGGGATGGCGGCAAACTACAAGTCGTCAGCGAGATTCTCGGAGTTTGCAGGGTTCAACGGACGTTCTTGAAGAGAGAGAGCATCTCATTGTAGGCTGTCTCGATGTTAGTCTAGTCCGCTCGATCAACATGGAGACATACCGGTGTAGTCGGGGATGAAGAACCCGACATATGCGTTGTTGAGAACAGCGGCAATGCGAATCAAGCCAGCCCGACCACCGGGAACCTTGGTCTAGTCAGCCTCAAGATAACCAGATGCAGTAACGAGATGGATAGTTTCGGCCCACATACAATAGCAACATTCTCCCAAGTGTACTGACTGGGCTTGCCCTTGCGATGCATCTCATTGTAGAGATGGGCAACGGCCTCGCGGAGAGGCTTGATACCAGCAGTGGGACCATATTCGCGGCCCGTGTTGCTGATGTCGATGGTCTTGGGTCGGGGAAAGCAGCCCTCGATATCATCCTCGACCTGACAGCACAGTCAGTCAGTGCCGCGATGGCCAGGGCTGGATATCATACCTCGGGAGCACCCTCTGCAGGTCATGTCAGTGATATGTATGCCAACGAGTGTCAGGGGTTAACCTACGTCCAAGATTGGCCCACTTCTCGGGCTCCTCAAAGAAGCCATGCTCTCCGGCCTGCTCAGTACACCAAACTACGCCAGTCGATGCTCGGGTGGCATCGAGGCCTGCGTGGGGGAGATGTCTGGAGCAGGGTCAGCCATGGTTTATGCCGGAGAATAGAGCTGGAGTACCCCTCGTGGGCAGCTCGAAACTGCCGATGGACCTTGCTGGATGCCTCTGAGGGATGCTGTCAGTCTTGGTAGATGGATGTAGTCCGGGTGGGAGTACCATTGACACCAGGCTCCCCGATGGAGAAGCGTCTAGCCGGCCTGGGGACGCCCGTGTTCCGGTTGATGCTGAACCTGCGGGACTCGAAGCCCACGCCAAAGATGCTAGCCATGGTTCCTGGATTTCTGGTGCGTGGGAAGAGACGGTGTTGGGCGAGCCAAGAGATGTTGAAATAAGACAATTCTCCGGGAATTCGTGTCGGAACGAGATGCGGAAGAGTCTGTTCCACGACTCTTTAGAAGACGTGGGAATGCTGGTTTTGGGCCTTGTGCATACGGAATAGAATGTCAGCAGCAGCTAGAAAAGGCACGCTCCAATCGATCTCATCTGATAGAGGAGGGGGCAGGAGGGGCAGGGACCTGGATCTCGTGTTGACAACTTGGGCCATGGTGCTGTGTCAGAAACGACCACGATGAGAGGGCCAGGTGCGTGATTGGCGTGGGCAGTAGGTGCCCAATTCCCAGGCCCGAGGAGGCCTGAGCAGGTTTGCTGGCCATCCGCCCCTCCCTCCTGCCACTCTTTGTTTTCCGTGACGAGACAAACGACATGTTCTTTGGAGAAAGAATTCTGTATTGTGTCTATAAGATGTATACAAGATGAAGAGCGTAGAAAACAACCAGAATTCAACAGTTTTCGTCACTCTTAGCCATAAACTCCAGCCAAGACAACGAAAAGAGAAGATGTTGGATTCGCGACAGAGTCATCGTTGGAAACCCCGCTGCAATCGATAAGGCATCGTCATCCCCAAGAGGAATGGCGGGGTGTGGTGCGGGCAGCGGGTCGCTCACCCCTGCCAAGCGTCCAGGGGGGGCCTGTCCATGTCCACTGTTCAACGTTGTGTCTTTTTCCAACACAATCCTCCCGTCATCAACATCAGACCAACGGCAAATCCCTCGTGCGACCCAGACGAAAACCGCAGAGTCATGACTGGAAAGGCAATCCCACCTGGATCCCCGGAGTGGCCGACAGCACCACTGCACCAGTGTATAAAATCCCTCTCCCTCTCCGTAGTCATCGCCCAGGTGAGCACCACCTCCAGGGCTTGTCAATCAGCCGGAACACTAGATTCTCAGATTCTGTCCAGACGACATACCAGCCACCATTCGGACGAGGCCGATGATCTGGAGACCCTGTGGCGAGTGCTCACACAAAAAGAAGTATACCTCGAACATACACAGCCGGGAGTGTTCGCCTCTTTGGTGGTCACGATGGCGACACCCAAGTTGGCGATGGCTTCCCGAGGCTCAAACAGGAGCCCCGTACTTGTGCGAGTGGCTACCGCAGCGGTTGCGCTGCCCGGCCCGGGGACACGGAGGATGCCAGGATGCCCAACACACCATTTCCCCCACAACATTGGTTCGCGATGCATGCAAGGAACAAGTGCAATCCACATGGCACCTCGAGAGGTTGATAAAGTCTTGATATCGAATCCGGCGGCAAGGATCCCGAAATGATTTGCATCCTTCTTTCAGAGGGGTTCCCCTGGAATGGGTAAGGTTTATTGCCTGAAGGAGGCTTGGGGGGCAAGGCACTATCGCAGGTGCTGCGCCTTAGGTGAAAGTGTTAGTGCTCCAGTGGTGAATACAGCCATTTACTACCAGGAAGAACCGCAGGGGGGGGCTGTGCGAATGTCACCCCACCACACCTCCCTCACCTTCAATGAATTCGAGTGCGCCTTTGAACCCTTCCTTTCCGCACCCCCAGTAAGGCATACCGCGAGGCTAGCTGTCCTGTGAATACTAGAGATAGTACCCGACGGTAATTGGTTGTGTGCCGAGGTATGTGGCGTTGGTGATTGCCCTTTGCCTTTGTATATTTCGCATTGGGATGGAAACGACAGTCTGATATAAGATGCTTGTCATTCACCTCCACTGCGACTGCTGTATGCTGCTTGTCCCATAGATACAGCTCTCCACCACATAAACCGCTGGTTCTTTTCAGAGAATCTCCCACCCCGAACTCCAAACAACCAAACAATCCCCGACCACAACCACATCACAACCACAGCAACCACAACCATCATGGCAAGCCCAGGTAAATCCGGCGGCTTCTTTGCCTCGGTCAAGGGCGCCCTCTCGCGCAGAGGTAGCAACAAGTCCTCCAAGAGCACCAAATCAACCGCGAGCAAGCAAGGCGACACCCTCAGCTCGCCCACCAACCCCTTCTTCCAGGCCGCTGTCCCGACCCCCCTCCCGGCCTCGGCCTCGGCCTTTGCCAACACCAACACCGCCCCTCCCCCGCCCTACTCCGAGATCAACACCACCACCGGCGGCCCAACCATCAACATCGAGCCCCCCACCACCCGCCGCGGGGCCTCCCCCTCCCCCTCCTCCGCCTCCTACCTCTCCGCCGCCTCCATCTCCACCCCCGACGACCCGTACGCCTTCCTCTCCACCTTCGACACCATCTTCGTGATCGACGACTCCGGCTCCATGGCCGGCCAATCCTGGCGCGAAGTCAAGGACCTCCTGCGCGCCATCACGCCCATCTGCACCGCCCACGACACCAACGGCATCGACGTCTACTTCCTCAACGCGCGCAACCCCTCGCGCGACGCCGGCCCCGCCGGCGGCTGGTGCAACGTGACCAGCCCTTCCCAAGTCGACGCCCTCTTCGCCCGCGCGCGCCCCTCGGGCGGCACCCCAACAGGCCAGCGCATCAACAGCATCATGCAGCCGTACCTGCGCGCGTACGAGCGCGGCGTGGCCGCCTCGGGCGACCCCGACGCCTCGGGCGTCAAGCCCGTCAACATGATTGTCGTGACCGACGGCATCCCCGGCGACG